TTGTTGATTATTACTTTTCGTTTGCCGATCTACATACTGGGCATAAAATAATACATTTACGGATGTACGAGTATATACTTGCACAAGCGCAGTCACTTATTATGTGTGTGTTTATGTTGGTGTGATAGAGAGAAATTGTTTGTGAGTGTAGGCATGTGCATGTATGTTTGTGCATACGCATTCGTGAGCGTGAGTGTAATAGATGTTGGATCGGTTGTTACTTTGTTTTTTGAATGGTCGTTTGTATATGTGTATATAATACGTATAAAATTTTATTATAGATAATATGTATACATGTATATAATATGCACAGACAAAGACACACAAAGACATGGGGTGAATAGTGAGTGGGAGAGAGAGAGAGAGAGAGAGAGAGAGAGAGAGAGAGAGAGAGAGAGAGAGAGAGAGAGAGATGGGTGGGGAGGAGTAGGGGAGTAGGTAGGGTTGGGAGTTGTCTGCGAGAGAAAATAAACAGTTTGTAGGCATAAGGATACACACAAGGAGTGAAAGTACAAGGAAGCTGAAGCGTAACGGGCAAGAACATCAGCAGTTCTAGAGCGATTACACAATATTAGACCTACTTACTTACGTTCTCACATGTTGACACGATGCTTAAACTCTCACAAAATACAATCCAAATTGCTTAAGACGGTCATCCTTTGTCCAGGAGAAAAGTGATTGTCTCAGACATGTAGACGTTTTCTTTAAAAAGTTTTAGTAAGAGTTTTACGGCACTTACAGCACAATAAGATAATATAAGTGCCGAATGTAGACTTTTTAAACAGTGTTATTATATTTTCATAGAAAGAAAAAATAAATGTGCACACAGTCACACAAGGGAAAACAGGTCGTTTGTCCAAGTGATTGTCTTGGAGAAATTCCCGTTACAGCAGGTTCATCTTATAAATGGCCTTAAATCACTCAAAAAAATGGCCAGTTTTCTTGAACGAGCTTGCTACGTTGGCGTTCATGCTACCTTCTACATTTATAATTACAAAGTCACGACTTGTTATAACGCTTGTTCACCGTCACAAACCGATGGAAGACAACCGACCTTACCGAACAATGAACGTGTACGATATACTCACGTTGAGAGAATTCTCACGTTAAGAGAATTCCCACCTATCGACTTAAAAAAAGAAGAAGACATATTTTAGTAGCATCATTAAAGCGGCTGCAGATACCTATAAAATTAGCTTTGTTTCGCTGCTGTCTAGCGTAAGACACTCGTGTGAGAGAATTTTGAATTTCTGAAGAAAAAAAAAGGTGTTTCAATCACAATATCAAAACACGCGTAGAGATAGAATTGTATTTGTCAATCAATAATATGTGTCACGACACGGTGGAATCAGGCGTTCGTCAATTTTGGGGTTTATGGAGATACTGGTATGATCTTAAAACCTGTTCATTTGCTTTTCTTTGAGTGAAAGAAAAACTGTTTATCTTGATCACAAGTCGGGGTGTTTTTTAAAGTTTTAATAGAGGTTTTACGGCACTCGCAACTGCATAAGGTCATATGAGCGCCTGTCGTGGTGTTTGCCATTGAAAGGGGGAAGAGATCACCTAGTGTCAGAGGTAAGACTAGCGAGAAAATTAAAACAAAAGTTCGGTGCCTTCCAAATCCTAAGTGTCCTTGGAAACTGTTAATTTATATTGTTATGACTTTCATCAACGTTTCTCGGTGAAATCCACGCATACAATGTCTTAAAAAGGATATTAAAAATGTAATGTGTTGATGGGTTGGTCAGATTTGGGCAAAGAGTGGAAAATATGCGGTTTCTTCGATTTAATTATTTCAACGAGCGCTTGATTTTACCACGACGACACACACATTTACTGAGGAAGTGCATTGTCTTCACGTGCACGATGGGGCTTGGTGATATGGGTAATGACTTTTGCTTGTAGCTGATTCATCATTTTTTATCAACAACGGATGAGCATTTCAAAAAGGAACAAATTGAGTTATTACTAGAATTTCGGTAGTTGAAATATGCGTTTTGACTAATAATAGTTGAAAGGCACACAGAACATACTGTAGAGCACGAATATGCGCTATATAAATGAAATGATAATATCATGATGATAATGATAATAATAATAATGAGAATGAGAATGATAATAATAATATCATTAATATCTTTATTATCTCTTATTATCTCTTATTATTGTTACAACTACTATTATTATTATTATTATTATTATTAAATAATAATAATAATAACAACAATAACAAGAATAAGAACAATATGGATAACAATAACAATAGCAATAGCAGTAGCAATAACAATAACAATAATAGCAGCAACCACAACAACGACTATAATAATACGGTCTTACACAGTATCATTATAATGTAAAACATACGCAAGGGAGGAAATGAGAAGTGGTTGTGTTATAGGAGCATGTCTTATGCATATGTGGCCGTTAGAAAAGGTTTGGCTGTTCTTAATTGACTCGTATCACGGAATCGAACACAGGAGCTTACCTTTCTTTTCTCTCGAAGGAAATATTCTGCAATTACAGACACTGATGGTCCAAAAAGTTCCTCAGCATGAGGAATTTACATCGGTTGTTTCAAGTAAAAACTTTTCTTCAATACTGATATGCCATTAATACACAACATATTATGTCAGAACACCTCTTTCAGATCAAGTCACTTTTTGACAATATTATATAGCGTCATACATTGCATCTCTGCTCTAGAGCTGTTGACGCATTTAGAATTTCTTATATATAACATTACTCTAGTTTGTTTTGTTTTTCTAAATTTAGAAGAAAAAAAATTAAGAACAGAAAAAAAAACCGACGGTACTGTTTTAGTGTCGTCTGTTCATGCAACCATAAACGCCAAGTGAACCACTTTTGCTCCTCAGGATAAAATAAGCAATCGAACAAACACATGTGTTTACCGAGTCTTGCTCAACATATCTCGCTTTTTTTTTCAAGCTTGCAATCGCAAAAAAACATATCTTTCGATCTTTGTGAAACCTGCTAACCGTATCCCTTCAGACAGTCCCGGCATTCATCTCCCACCCCCACTCCCACCCCAACCCCGCCCACTCCAAC